TATATATTTGCTTATCTTTGTCATGTTATTTTCATGCTGTTGGTTCTCTACTTTTCCTGTGTAATTGTTTGCCCTGTTAGGGGGTTTCTTGGTGCTGTTGTTCTTGGAGTTGTGGTCATTTTGAGCCATTTCTAGAATATCTTTCAGTGCTCTGGTAGAATTAGTTTGGTTGTCATAAATTTCTTTAGTTGTTGTCATGGAAGTATTTTACTTCTCCATTAATTTTGAAAGAGAGTTTTGAAGGGTATTTCAGTCTGGGTTGGAAGTTGTTTTCTTATAGAACTTGAAATCCTTTACTCCAAACTCTTCTTAACTTGATGGTTTGTGTTGAGAAATCTGCTGTGATTTTGATGCTGTGATTTTCTTTAAATGTGATCTGCTTTTCTCAGAAGCTTTTAGTATGTTGTTTTGTGCTGAATTTCTAGGATCTTGATTATTATATGTCTGGGTATAGATTCATTTTGATTGATGTTTAATTTAGAGTTCTATATGCGTAGGTTATCTGAATATGAGATTATTTCCCCATACTTAGGAAGTTTTCTGCTATTACTTCTGCAAATATTATTTTATGTCCTTTGAGTTGGCTCCTTCTTTATCATTTATACCTATTAGGCTTATGTTGTTCATCTTTGCATCATCCTGTAGCTGTGGAAATTATTATTTCCTGCATTCTTGTTATTCTTAAGAGATCTTTCCTTTCCCAGTCACTAGTTACAATGATGTCTTCAATGTCTGAAAGTCTGTCTTCAGTTTCGAATGGTTTTGCAAACTTTTATTTTGATTTTGTGATTTTTTTGTGAAATTTTGATAGTGGGCAGCTATTTCATTGCAATCAGAGCCTCTCTATAAAAAGTCTGTTCTTCAGGTATCTCTTCTGTGTGTCAGATATTCTTAGTTTGTGTTTGTCCCAAGATTGAGCATGGATATTGATATTTATTTTACACTGCCCTCCATCTTTCACTATATGGTTTTGGTCAGGTTATTATCCCCAGTGCTTCCCATTATTATTACCCAAGAGATAATGTGTGGTTAAGACAAATATGGTATCCTAGTTACAGTAGTACAATTAGCAATATTAATAACAGCAAATGAAATTTAGAAGTTGACAAACATTGATAACTAATGGTTTTGTATTTTAGACCATAGAAGCAAACACTATAATTATGTAATAACTATAGAGTGTAAATTGAGAATCTGTATGTAAACTAGTTCCCCTGAGTTCTATCTGGGCACCTCTCTGCCATGTTCCTGGAAATTTCAGCAGACCAGTTCAACCAAGTTCCCTCCTAAAGCCTCAGCACCTGTAGTAGGGATACCTCCAGCCAAGCCTTTTGCCTAGCCCCTCCCACTGGTCCACACCCCAAGGAGACTGGACTCCAGCCAGCCATTTACCTGGCTGAAATTTGCTTTTAGATAATTTGAATTAACAGATTCCAAAAAGCATAGCAGGAAAAAGATGTAAGGTGATAGGTACAATAACTGATTTTTTTCCTTCTAATCATGTTTCTTTTTTAGATATTGGATGACCACCCCAGTGCAGTTATATTCACTCATTTTCCATTTGTCTGTAATTTACAAACCAAAATTAAGTTGTTACAAGTTGATTCATTTATGAAAATGCAGGTATGTATTCTGTATTCATAGGTATCATAAAATACTTGAGGTTAGGTGCTATATGAACAAGAAATTTCTTTAGTTCACATTTCAAGAGTACATCCCATGCATACTGGCAAAGTAACCCCTATCTTGCTACGTTGGGTATATATTGAAAAGAGACTGTTGGAAAGCCTAACTTCCTTTGGTAATGTGTAGTTTAGTTTCTTTTCTTTTTTAATGTTTATTTATTTATTTATTTTTGAGACAGGGTCTCGCTATGCAGTTTGAGCCAGCCCTATGCTCACTTTTATAATCCCTGGGCTGGTCTCGAACTCATAGTTCAACTTCTGGAGTACTGGGATTACAAATGTGTGCCATCATACCTGGTTCTGGAACAGCACAGCATGTCGGGCCAAGGATCAAACTTGGGACCTTGCACTTGCCAGGCAGGTACTTAAACCACTGAACTATCTCCCTGGCCCTGATTTCATTTTTTGAGGTAGAATCTTTGTATGTAGCCAGGCTAGCTTTGAACTTGTGATTTTCCTTCCTTATCTTCCCAAGTTCTGGAATTATAGGCATGCACCATGACAGACTAGCAAGCCTAACTTTGTAATAACTTACTCTGGAAAGAACTAATTCATTCTGTGAGACCAGCACTACTAGCTAGGGCCCAGTAACAAGGGGCCCTTTCCACCAAGCCCTGCCTCTTAAAGGCTGTACCACCTCACAACATCACCACCCTGGTTCTAGCACATGAACTTTGGTGGACACCATAAAACCATAGTAGGTGGTCTACACTTTTTGTTATACAACTTTTTGAACATATCTAAAATAGAGGTACTGGTATAAGCCCATCACTAGGATTCAACATTTGGCCATACTTTGTGTGTGTGTGTGTGGAACCGGGGATTAAACTCAGGCCCTTGCACTTACCAGGCAAGCGTTTATTCTACTAAGCTATCTCCCCGGCCCCAGTTGTTACTGTTTTCTGCTGAAGTAATTTAAAGTAAATCCCAGACTGGGGGCTGGCAAGATAGCTCAGTGGTCCAGAGTACCTGCTTAGGCAAGCTTAGGCAAGTGCAGGAATTGTGGTTTGATCCCAGCACCAATGCCATGCCAGCCCCACACCTAGGTCAGGCTGAGCTGGCCAGAATCCAGGCATAGTAGTACACATCTATAATCCCAGTGCTGGGGAGGCTGAAAGGAGGAGGATGACCATGAGTCTGAGCTGCATAGTAAGACCCTACAAGAACCAAATACATTTAATAAATAAATAAATAAAATAAATCCCAGTCTGAAATCCCAAGTGAAATACTTTTACTTTTCTCATATTTTAATGCATCATTTCTGGTTATCATGCTCTTATATCTGCTTATATTCATCAGTGGGTTCAGGTGGTTAATATATGATTCTTCTTCCATTTTAATGTTTTCCATAAATCTTTTGAAATTTTATGCAGATAAAAGAAAATTATTTAATAATTCCATCCATCACTTTTATAAGGTTTGCAGTATTATTGTAGTATTTTTAATCTCATCACTTCTTGCAGAGTATTAACTGGAATTCTATATAGAACCTTTCTTCATTATTCAGGGGCTATTTGGTGACCCTAAAATTGCTAAATACCATTGAAATAGGAAGGCAGTATTTAATCTTTTTTCATTAGATTATTAAATGTTGACATATAACTATAATTCATATCAATTTATGTTTCCAACAACAATGTATGCACATATTCACCAAATGCAGAGAATTACTAATCTGTGTGATTTTTACATTTTATGATTTAATCATATTTCAGATAATTTTAAATTTATATTTCTCATTATTGCCTTAGTCTTCATTTTTTCTAGATAATTTTCTACATGAGAAATACTGAAACTATTTAGTAGAGTGTGCTTTTTCTTGTTTTTTGCTCCGAATGCCTTCAGGGCTTGATTGGCTGGCTTGAGTTGTGGGGATCGAACCACAGCAAGCTGAGCCTGACTGCTTTGTTGAAGCAGCCACTTAAAGAACTGAGTTAAGGGACGGGCGCCCAGAGTGTGCTTTTTCTTTTTCTGTTTCTCTATGTAGTTTTAGTTAATACCATGTTCTTAGTATCAGTATTTGGGCTTTATGTCTTTAAGCATCTTGGAGCTATATTTGTAAGCTCCAACTGATTCTCCTTTATTCAGAAATAATACTGAGTCAGTGATTCTGTTTTTCACTTATTTTCACACTGTGACTCTTATATTAGTTCTACATAACATTTACGTATTTGTGCTTCTATATCACCATGAGCCTTTAGTTCTCTGCTAATATATTTGGTGCTCATCCCACAGACATTGTTAAAGATTTTCCACAAATTTTGTTGACTGCCAGGCCTGTTTTCTGTGTCACCCCTCAGGGCAGTGCTTCTATATCTCTAGTGCTTCTTTAAAGACTAATAGCAATCCAAAGTAGTACCCATTACTGACTTTTATTATTAATTCAAAGTATACTGCCATCTGTCTGAGTAAAGCATGTAAAGTCTATGACATATGTCTACAAGAAGACCCATTTCAAACCTAATACATTTTATTTCTACATTCTATTAGTAAAATACTAGCTTGCATGACATTTTCCAATGTATTATGACTCATAAGTCTGTTAGTGTTAAGTTTATGTACAATGAGCAAGTTAGACACAAGATAAATCCTTAGACATTCCTATTGCATTCTATAGATAAGGCCTCTCTATTTACTGTTATTAGTGTCAGTTAATACTATATTTATGAATAAGTTTACACAGATCACTTCTGTTATTTTTCTAAAATCCTTGGTAAAGACAAAAATAGATTATCTTTCTTTCTCAGACCTAGTTTTCTGATTAGTGATCCTTATAGAGATAGGCAATGTGTCTGTCCATTTACACATAATGAAGAATTAAGAGAAAAAACTGGTGTAGTTCTCACTGGCAGAGTTGGACAGCATACTTCATAGTACCATTCTCAAAAGGAGACATGATGTACAGTCTTAAATTGTAAGCTCCAAACTGTCAATTCAAATGTGGACATAGAAAAAAAAGAAAAATAATACATAAAGAACAGGAGTGGAGAAGTGGGAGAGAAGGTAAGATCCAGGTTTCCATCCATCCTGCATTAGGTGACTGGAGGTACATACTCTTCTCTCTGCTGGCATCAGTGCAGGTCCCTACTATCCCTGGCTGTCACTCACAGCCATGGAACGCATTGCTCTGTGGTCAGTACTGCTAATGTGTGCCAGTGTTATAGACTCTAGAACCAGGACATGACATAAAACCAGAGAGCACCAGAGGCCAAACTTACTCCATTTCCTAACCCAGAACCTCCTTCAAAAAGCATCATCAAAACCAAGAAAAATGTAGTGAAATCATAAGTAAATTTCTCAGCACAGTATATAGTGTTGGCAGAGATCTAGGACAGGTGTTTCCCAAGCCGAGTCCCTTAGACCCTTGTTTGGAGAACTTGGAGAGAATTAAAGTGGGCAGACACACCCAACCTAGAAACCTGGAGTAGGACAGCTATTATCCACTGGTTTTGCTGTCACCATGAGTCCTAAATACTCCTTTATTGTTTTGTTTTGTTTTTTTGGCGGAACCGGGGATTGAACTCAGGCCCTTGCGCTTGTCAGGGAAGCGCTTATTCCACTGAGCCATCTCCCCGGCCCCTCCTTTATTGTTTTTATGATGTGAAAAACCTTAGAAGAGTGTTGAAGGTTAGAGTGAGGCTGGCACCTGAGGCATGTTTCTAGAGCTCGTAGAGAAGACTGAAATCTGGGTTAATGAGCCATAGGAAAATAATCAGTCTGCTTTAGTATGTCTTTCCCATCTTTGTCCTACATCTAACATTATTCCTGAGCCCTGAAAGTGCCCGTTATTTTTGAGATGCATGGTGCCAACAAAGTTTCAACATGTTGAATATCTTTCAGGATCCTACACTACAATGTGTAATCCAAGATGCTTTTAATTGCTATATTTCACTATCTGTGATGTGACTTTTAAGTGCCATAGTTTTTCTGATGCTACATTTGCTTTATTTACCATCATGTGGACACATTGTTCTTTTTCTTAATGACAATGGGAATATGAAGTAATGGCAATCATGATTAAGTGGATGCTCTGCAAAGTATATGAGAAACCTGTAAGCAACCTGTAAGATTCTTAGCTGTCAAGAGGAAAAGCCAACTAAAATATTTCTTTTTACAGAAATCAGCAGAAAAGGTAAATCTGTGTGCAGTGATGGAAGGAAAAGTTGAATCACCTACATTAATACTGAGAATCAATCGAAGTCACTTGGTAGAAGATGCCCTACATCAGTTAAGCCAAGTTGAAGACACCGACCTTTTGAAAACTTTAGTGGTACAGTAAAAAGTGTCACTGAATATTTTTACTCATGTACAAAGGTTGATGTTATGCTAGGCCTGGACAGGGCAGTTTAATTTGCTTGGCATATCTTTCATCTTTCTACTAGGATCAACAAGCATAGTCTTTTTATTCATGCAAGAGTACAGGGTAGAAATGACTGAATGACTATTTCTTTAGTCAGAGTAGTCTCACTGATGAACCCAAGTCCTAGGTTGGGAAAATATACTCAAAAACTTCAGAGGAAAAGCTACAAAATTCACTTGCAAAATACATGGATTAAGGATTGATGAAGAATTGGAACTATTCATACAACCAAAAAAGAGCAAATGGAACAGACAGTGATTTTACATTTTGACTCTAGGTTTAAATTTAAGATCTTCTGCTACACGGATTTCAATTCTAGGCATCCTTCATTTAAGCCTTTGTGAGTGCTTATTTGGTATTCATTACGTGGTATCTCAGAAGATTTGCCCTGTTGTCATTATAGTATTATGGCTAACACTGTGGGTAAGGTTTGTAGTCTGACAGAAGGAAGTGGATTTTCCTGATACTGGCTGTGAGAGTTAGTGTTAATCTCTGAAAAAGGAGACTAGAACCTGGAGAACGAGCCTCAGATAAGAGCAGAATAGTTCCCAACATGGGATTCCAATGGACTATGAAGAAACTGTTTTATAAGCCAGACCTTCTAATTGTGTGACTCACTTTATAGTTATTTTCCATATGTCTTAACTGTGAGGAAATCAATACAAAATTGTTCCCCAGCAGGAATTGACCAAGAGATAAGAAAATAAACTCCAAGGCAAAACCTATCACTACATAGATTCTGAACATGGCAAGGTTGTCATAGCCCATTATGAGTTGAGTCCTGTGGTGTAGTACTTGCTAGGACATGAGTAGAAATTAGAAGAAAGCTTAATTTGTTGTTGGACTCTTTGTGTCAGAAGGTAAAGCAGTTCTTGAACATGATGGTTGTAGCCAAGGTTTTGATGAGATGTCTTACAATTAAGATCTTTCACAGAAAGAAAATATGAAGAGAAAAATCCATCACACTGAAGCTCATAGACACTTAATAGTAAAACATTTTTGGCTAGTATAACTCAGTGGTAGACTAACTTCTAAGTATGCATGATGCCAGGGGTTTGATCCACAGCACCAGAAAGAGAGAGAGAGAGAGAGAGAGAGAGAGAGAGAGAGAGAGAGAGAGAGAGATTGAGAGAGAGATTCTGACATGATGGAATGGCTAGGGCAATCAGGAACCATAGTTTCTGTAGGTCTAATGTCCAGACTGGCTGAAAGGGAGGTTTAGTGAAAGCCCTACTGAGGACACAGGCAGAAAAAAACAAGTAACTTGTTAACTGTGGCCAAGGATTTAAAACCTGAGCAGTAAGATGAAGATATCCAACAAGATAGAATAACTGGGAAATAGAACAGCCCTGGAATTTGAAGCACATCAAAATTTAGTTCAAGATTCTGTTCAGCATAAATGGTAGGTGCTAAGAGTCTCCCTAACCTTGATAATGTAGCAGTCTAGGGGATCCTTGCAATTAGTATACAATAGCCTGAGAAAAATAGGTTGATGGTCCCCTCTGCTAGGCAGAAAATTGAGGCTGGGTAGACTAGATGAAAGTAAGGACTGAGTCATTGGTAACTCTAGTGACTACAAGAATGATCACTAGAGATTTAACACTTTTCCATAGAGACTGAAGGTTTAAGTCAAACCACGGGGATGTGTTTTCTTTCTTAGGTTGAATTTATCAAAGAAATTCGTCCTGAGAGTGGAGGGGTCACTGCTGAGTTCTTCCACTGTATATTTGAAGAGATGACCCAGCCAAAATATGGAATGTTCATATATCCTGAAGAGGGTTCTTGCATGTGGTTCCCTATAAATGTAAGTCTCTTTCTCAGAGTTTTTCAGAACAGAAAATGTACTCCATGTACTACAATATGGAAACCATGGAAAATAATGCAAGATTACATTATAGAGAGCCTTGGGACCTGTGTTTTGGGTAGCACTTGCATAGTCCATAATTTTTCTGAGATTCTATATTGTGACATGTGTCCACAGTTCATTCTTCTTTATTGTGGAGGAATACTTATTTATTTATTTATTTGTTGTTTCGTTTTGTTTTTGTTTTTGTTTTTGGCGGGACTGGGGATTGAACTCAGGCCCTCGCGCTTGCCAGAAAAGCACTTATCCACTGAGCCATCTCCCTGGTCCCCAGGAGTATTTAGTTGTATGGAAATACTACAATTTCTTTTCCTGATATCTGACACATAAATACTTGGTTCATGTCCTAAATTTTGAAACTGAGTAATTGAGTGTTTTCAATTTAGAGAAATAATTGATAGACATTATTAACAAATATACCTGTTAATTCTAAAAAGGTAGTGATTTGTGTAATTATTATATTTTTAAAAAGATTCTTGGAGGGCTGGAGAGATGGCTCAGTGGTCTAAAGCACCTACTTGGAACAAGCTTAGCAAAAGCATCAGGGACCGCGGTTCTATCCCCCAGCACCACATGCCAGCCAGTCCTGCCCCCTGGTGGGCTGAGCTGGCCTCTCTCTCTCTCTCTCTCTCTCTCTCTCTCTCTCTCTCTCTCTCTCTCTCTCTCTCTCTCTCTTTCAAATAAATAAAAAAGAATAAAAATAAAAAAAAAAAGATTCTTGGAGCGTACTTTCTTTTCTAAAAATTACTGTGTTAATAACAAGGATAAAATAGCCATGAAAGAAATATGTTGAGCTTCTACTTACTGGTTGCTTTTCTCAAATTGTTCTTCCAAATAATATGAATAGATAATAATAGATGTGCCTTTTTGAGAATAAATGAACCTCTTAAAGATAGATGGTTGAAGTGTACCAGTGGTGTTTTTTTTAATCAGTGAATATGAGGCATTTATTTATTCAGTGTTTCCTGAGGTTCCCACATTGTATTAAATATTATAGAAGGTTCGAATTATATGACAGGATCCCTTTTCCCTGAAACATCTTACATGCCTAGATGAAGTGACAAATATGACATCACATTGCTAACTTGATATCTAACAGTTACTGAGAAGCACAGCAAGGTAAGGAAGGACTCACTGGTGTGAGAATAGAATCCAGTATTCTAATATGATAGTGGTCATCCATGGTTGAGTTTTCAGTTTCTTCCTATAAAATGTTTATAATTCCTGCTTTGTCTTCTTTAAAGGGTGTTGTAAGAATAAAACAAGTTAGTGTGACAGCATGAAAAGCATCAAATTTAAAGTAGTATTTGTTAGGAAAGAACATCAAGGAAGGATGGAAGTCCCTAGAGGAGGTGTAATGAAAAAATAGACTTGCAATTAATTATTAAAAGACAGGGACAGAATGGGCTAAAGAAGTACAAATGAGGGATGGAGAGGAGAAAAATAAACTCTATCAACCCTGGGAGGTAGGTGGTTCATCCTCTTTTTTTTTTTTTTTTTTTACTACAGATCAAACTTAGGATCTTGGATTTACTAGGTAGGAGCTTATGCCACTGAACTATATTTCTGGCCCTCATCCTCATCTTACAGGTGAAGAAAGTGAGGCTGAGAGAGAGAAAATAATTGCCCAAGACCATAGCACCTAGCAAGTGACCACACCAAAACATGAGATCAGGGCTGTCTGACCTCAAAGCCTTACTCTTAAGCATTATTCTGTCCTTCTGGACAGAAAATATAAAAATAAAACTATATATAGATATAGATATAGATATATAATTTGTGTTTGACTCAGTTAAATTACAAAATAATGTAGAACCAGGGACACACTACAAAGTTCGGTGTCATGGTGTACAGCTGTGGATGAGCAGAGGATGAAGATTACTCAAAGTCAAGGTTTAGGTCAATCACCAAGAACTCAGAGGGGCTGCTTCTCAGGCATATGAGAGCGAGGGAAACAACAGTGAGCTGAGACCTCTGCAGTTACTTATTTGTGATTTAAAAACATGAGAAGAAAGATGTAGGAAAAAAGCACTTGCAACATATTGTGTAGGATTTCCAGTCAGAAGACAGAGCTGAAATGGGATATTTTCTACATTACACATGTTAACCTGAATTAGGTAATCTTATTAGGGCAGAAAGTCAGATGGCCAAAGCAAACACACCTGAGAAACTGCTTTTAATTTTGCTACTTATCTTGCAGATTCTGCTCTAAACTCTTTAACTGTGCATTCCAAGAGCATGGGAACTGTTGTTCCATGGTACTTTCCTTATTGCACTCAAATTCAATAACTCCTTTGGCCAGAATTTCCCCACAGTTTGGGAAAGAAGATGGATTACTTTTGGAGCAGTCACCTTTGGAGATTACATATATTGTACCTTTAACTCATTTCTAAAATTTAAATACATTTTTATCATAATTTGAGAAGTCAATAGGACAAGTAGATTGAGCTGATTAAACACTTTGTGATTGCTCCAAGCTCTGCATCGGATAACTGCAATGAATAGCTTACAAGGAAATTGTACGCTCTTCAAGCTAGGGACCTTTCCTCTGTTGGGAATGTTACAACCAAGATACAGCTTAGTTTTTCACTTACCTACAAGTTCCAAGGAAAACCAACGGTATTAATCTGTTTTTGTTGTTGTTATTATTATTTTAATGTATTTGGTATAGGGTCTCACTACACAGATAAGACTCATAGTGATCCTCCTGTTTTCAGCCTCCCCAGTGCTGGAATTACAGGCATGCACCACCATGCCCAGTCTAGGTGGCCAGCTCAGCACACCCAAGGGTGAGGCCAGTGTGCCCTGTAGAGCCAGGAATCAAACTCTGGTCCCTGTGCTTGCCTCAGCAGGCGCTTAGTCCATGTTGTTTTTATTGTTGATTTTGTTACCATAATGAAACACACAAAGCTGGATGCTTTACCAAAAAAAAAAATAAGATTTAAGCTTTTACTTCTGGTATATTCACATACATAATACTGATGTCATCTCAGCTCTGGTAAGGATCTGATGGCAAGTAGTATCGTGACAGTATCCATGCAGGCAATAGGTTACATTGTTAGGAATCCTAAATCCAAGATTTAGGAAACCAGTGAGAGTGAGCTCACATGGAACTACATTATTGCTTTCTAAGGGTACATTTTCAATAACCATGTCTGGCCATTTGAGAAATGCAAACTAAATACTGAGAATCCATCTCACCCTTTAAAGAATGCTACCATCAAAAGATGAGCCAGTAACAAATGCTGGCAGAGCTCTGTGGGAAAAAAGAACCCTTATCCACTGTTGGTGGGAGTATAGACTGACACAACCACTATGGAAATCAGTGTGGAGACTCCTCAAAAGACTCAAATTGGAGATCCCATTTGACACAGCTATTCCCCTTCTGGCTATCATACCACAGCAATATATGTGCAACCACATTTATGGCAGCACAGTTCGTCATTCCTAAATCTTGGGAACAACATAAATGCCCAGCAAGCAAAGAATGGATAGAAAAAGATATGATGTTTTTATACAATTGTGTATTATTCAACTATAAAGAAAGATAAACTCAAGGTAAAGGGTAAGGTAAATGAATGCAACTAGAGACCATACTGATAAGTATAATAAACCAAACTCACAGGTATAAACATCAGATTGTCTCCCTAGTACAAGAAACTGAAAGAGTAAGACTCAAAAGGTATGATAGATAATGGTGAAAGGGAAAGAAACTGCTCAAAAGGAAAGAACACCTGGGATGCAGGAAAGGAGAAAAGAAGGGAGAAAAAGCACACACACACACACACACAAAAGGTAGCTAAGATAATTTTACTACTAATTTCTATTCATTGAAAGGAAGTGTTTTTATTGTTTGATCAGTTTGTCATGCCCATATCTTTTTTTT